CCTTTTTCCTTTATTGCAGGACTGTGGATTGAATACAGGGCCTTCATACTGAGCTATATCCCCAGCCTTTTCTTTAATTTTTAATTTTGTGGCAGGGTCTTCTTAAGTCACTAAGTTGTTCAGGCTGGGTTTGAACTTGCAATCTTTCTGCCTCAGCCTCTCAAGCAGCTGGGATTCCAGGTGTGCACCACATGCCCAGACACGAGCTTTTTTGGGGGGGGATATATTAAATTATAAGATCCAATAGAGGCTCTAATAACTGTGTAATGACCATAAATGAGCATAAATTGTATTTCAAGATACAATAGATCGTCATTACTTGTGACTTTGTATGCTTGCTAACACTGTTTCATAACCTCGAAGTTAATACTGGTGGTGCTTGTGCCATTATGGTCACACTGAACAGTGCAGGTGTTGAGCTCTCCACCTGCCGGTTCCTGGTTGAGAATGACCAAAGCCCTGCTCCGCCATCTTGTTTCAGCTCCTCACTTCAATGAGTCATTGTCAGGCCATAAGTTCATGTTTTGTTTGGGTGATGACATTGTTTACAATGTTCCCAAGCATAGTGCTGAAATGCTGTCTAGTGTCCTTCATCAGGGCTGTTCTGTGCCTTAAAGAGAAAAGACATGTTGGAGAAGCTTCACTAAAGTATGAGTTACAGCGTTGTTGGTTGTGAGCTCTGTGTTGATGAATTTTACATCTTAAGCACGGTGCCTCACGTGAAACAAAATTGTGCACGGACTGGTTGCAAAACGTTGGGATGCATCTGACATCACAACCTGACCCAGGAGCTGTGTGTTTGCTTATCTAGGGTTCAGGATGACTGTATCAAACATGTCCACTACGGATATCCATCTTAGCCCAGTGCAGTGGCACACGTCTGTAATGCAGGACTTTATGGGGCTGAGGCAGGAGGATCGAAAGTTTGAGCCCACCCTGGGCTCCTTAGCAACTTAGTGAGACCCTGTCTCAAAATAAAAACTAAAAGAAGTACCAAAGCTCTATCTCAGCGCAGAAGCCCTAGGTATAATCCCCAGTACCAAAAATAAATAAATAAATAAACAAATAAATAAATAAAATAGATAAATACAATTTTCAAAGTGGCTGTCTCTGGAACAAGTGCAATACAATGGGAAACTATTCACGACAAAACCCTAACTCAGATGTGTTTTGTTGCCTGCATTCAAGTTGAGAGGACGTGCTAATTTTTTCCCCAATCCCATTTGTAAGCACTCTTAGCTCTATGGGTCCCCACTTCTCCAAGCAGGATTGAATCAGAGAGAGGGTGGGATGGGGAGGCCAGTGCAGATTTCCGGCGGACGAACGTCCTGCTGCCTATGCACCTGTACCAGTCCTGCAGAGAGACTTTGAATGAGCTGCTTTTGCTGGGGGTCTTGAAATTTTTTTTTCCACCAGGGCCTCCTGAGCCCAAAAGGCCCTTCACCAGGTGACAACTGGCCCAGGTGAGTGGAAACAGAGGTCCTAGATGATCATGCACAGCCAAAAAGCTGAGCTCCAGCTCAACAGTGAAGGTCAGGACAGGTCTTTCCTCTGATAACAGGAAAAGCAAACTATAGCAGAGTCCTGGGGCGTTTAGATGAAGATCACATGGGAGCCTGAAGTCTCCCCCTAGGGCTACCCAGAGAGGAAAGCAGCCCTCAGCCCCTAAGTTTTCTTATTCTTCTTACCTCAAGGAATGGTAATTCAACGGGTCTAATTAAAATGTGTCAAAAAAGAGGCTAATTATTTGCTTTGGTTTGTTTGTTGCTTTCCTGAGACAGAGTCTCACTTTGTAGTCTGGCTGGCCTTAAAAGTTGGCATGAAGCCCAGGCTGGTCTCCAACTAGTGATCCTCCTGCTTCAGTCTCCTTTTTTGTTTTTAAATGGCAAAAAATAATAAAGTATGAGCTGGAAAGGACAATTAACTTTTCCTCATTCCCTCCTTCCCTCCCTCCCTCCCTTCCTTCCTTCCCCCTTCCCTTCCTTGCTCCCCCCTCCCCCCTCCCCATGGCAGGCTAGGTATTGCTGTAGAGGCTATGTCCCAGGACTGAAAATGCCCACCCAGGTTCCTGCCTCTGGAGTTTCACTTCCAGTTCTGGACTTCTCACCAGAGCTCTCTAATCCAGGAATGGAGAAATAGTGGGGAGATGTGTGGCTACCACCCAGGAAGGCCCTGCAGGTGTCTATCGTGGAGCAGCACTCATTCACCATGACTCAGAAAAACTCAAGGCTTAAGACCACAGCTCAGGGGACACTGGCACAGAAGTACAGGGTAGGAGTTGTCCCTCACAGAGAGCCTGTGGATTCCTGATGCCCAGAAGTGACAGGAAGCCCCGGGAACACATGTATCTGCAGATGGTTCCCAGCACATGGAGGAGGACTTGGTCAAATCTCACAGAAGGAACCCATCTGGGCAGGCCTGGAGTGGAGAAATTTAGAACAGACCTAGATGTGCCTGGTCCATAGGTACCCGTTTCCTAGGTCTGGATGTTAAATGTGCCCCCCCCAAGCCTATGCATTTAAGGCTTGGTGCCCAGGGTGGTACTCTTGGAAGATGATGGGAGCTTTGAGAGGCAGGACTTAGTGAGGGTTTTTTTGGAGGGGGTGCGCTGGGATAGAGCCCAGGAACTCACACATGCTAGCAAGTGCTCACCACTGAGCTACATCCCTTTTATTTTTTGAGACAGAGTCTCATAAAGCTGGGCAGGTTGGCCTCAAACTCATGATCCTCCTGGCTCAGCTTCAGAAGTACAGTAGCTGGGTTACAGGCATGCACCACTGTACCTGGCCCTAGAGGGAGGTCTTTGGGTCATTGCTAACATGCTCCTGAGGTCCCTTCTCTTTTCATGCTTTTGCTTCTTGGCCATGAGGTAAGTGGTTTTCTCTGCCATGTTTTCCTGCTGTTATGTGTTCACCACAGGCCCACAGCAAAGATGGGAGCAACCAGTCATGGGCTAAAACTTCCAAAATCAGGGCCTAAATAGGCCTTTTCTCTTTATAAGTTAATGATCACAGGCATTTTGTTATAGTGCAGAGAGCTGATTACTACAAGGTTAAATGATTCCCCAAGGCGGGGGTGGGGGAGTGGGTAGTGAAGCCCTAAGAGAATTTCAACAGGTTTTCTTAGAAGTGGGAGGGACACAGATGACACCTACATGACGAAAGGAGCTGGTCAGGCCCGGGAACCTGTGTAAGAGTTGGCCCATGGTACCCAAGAATTTCATCCCTGCAGATTCAGTCTACTAGGCAGTTAGGCCTGTGATGCTTATTTCAGTACTGAACACACTCAGACATTTTTCTTGTCATTGTTCCCTAAATAATATGGTATGAACTACTTATATAGCATTTATATTGTGTTGGGTATTATAAGTCATCCAGACATGATTCAAAATAATGGAGGAAGTGCACAGGTTGTTTGCCAAGATGACACCATTTTGTACAAGGGACTTGGAGCATCTGAGGATTGTGGTATCCACAGTTTGTCCTAGAACCAAATCCCTGCAGATCCAGAGAAACAATTGCACATTCATATCCACATTGGACTTTAACATTGAGGCAGATTTGGGTGTAGTGGTTTATTTGGAAAGAAATTCTGGGAAGCAGGATTCAGGACTCAGGGCACTGAGATGAGGGGAGGAAGTGAGCAGAGAGGGCTGATCCTGTAGGGCTCCTGAGAGGTACACAGAGTGATCCCCAAACTGACTGCTAATGGAGGAGCCTGGTCCTACACAGAGTGACTGCTGAACCTGTAGCCACCTTCAGAAGCAGGTAAGGAGGGAGGCACACAGATAAGGATGGTGTTTAACAGAATTCTTGTGCTTATACAGACAGAAACCTGCACCAGTACAGTAGTTCCTTGGTATGTATAGAAATGGTTCCAGAATAAGACGCTCAAGTCCCTTGTATGAAATGGTGCTGTATTTGCATTTAACCAACATCCTGCTATCTACTTTTTATTATTTATTTATTTTTTTGGTACTGGGGATCGAACTAGGGACCTGGCGCTTCCGAGGCAGGAGGTGGAACCACTGAGCTAAATCCCCGGCCCCCCTGCTGTATACTTTAAGTCATCTCTACATTATTTATCATGTTGGTCAGTTTTCCATTACTACAGAAAGTATCCAAGAGAATCAACTCAAAGAGCAGAAGGGTTTATTTTGGAGGTTCTAATCCATGAGCAACTGGCCCCATTGCTCTGGTCCTGGCAGGTGCATGTGGTGGAGGAGGGCCATTCATTTCATGGCCGAGTGCAAAAGAGAGGAGGAATAGGCAGGGGACCCGCAATTCCCACCGAAGGCACAGCCAGCAACCTCAGCCTTCCTACCAGGCCCCACACAGTTCTCACCTCCTCCCAGTAACATGAAGCAGAAGACTAAGCCTTTAACACATGCACCCTTTGGAGACCCAAAATATTCTTATGCAATGTAAATGCCATGCAAATAGTGGTTGTACCGCATTGTTTCAGAAATAATGACAGATATAGCTGTATGAAAGACTTTTCTTTCTCTCTGTTTTTTTTTTTTTTGGTCCTGGGAATTGAACTAGGAACCTTGAGCTTGTGAGACAGGTGGCGGAACCACTGAGCTAAATCCCTGGCCCAGGCTGTACATGTTCAGTATGGGTGAGGGTTTTTTTTCAAATATTTTTGAACTGCAGCTGTTTGAATTCACAGGTATGGACTGGTGATATAGAGGGCCTATTAAACTACAAAACACAGTGGGTCTTTAATAGCTGGCTTCCAAAGGAAATTTGAAGCTGGGCATATTGGGCTATACCTGTAATATCAGCACTTGGGAGGCTGAGGCAGGAGGATCGAGTTTGAGGCCAGCCTGGGATACATACTGAAGCTCTCTCTCAAAAAATAAAAACAAAAACCAAATCAAAACAACAGCCAAAGGATATTTGATAGAGGTCTACCCATGATGACAACAATCCTAAAAATTTACACAACTTCACGAGTCATGATTTGTGTAGCTGAAAGAAAGGCTTTTCAACTATCAATAAGAAGCAACAAATTTTATTTTTTAATTCTTTCTACAGGCAATGATATCACAAAATCATTGTTGCAAGGAAGAAGCAATCAGATTATGCAGGTAAAGAATATACGAAAAACTTTTAAAGAAAAAAACGGTCATTTCTATGGACTTTGCAGGCTTATGGTATTCGCTGACTTTAAAGGTTTGCAATTAGCTATGCATTCTTTTCTCCTTGTAAATAACTATTCCAGTTTGTACCTAATTTTGCATTTACAGTTTTGTGTTCTGTTTTGAAAGTGGATGCACGGAACCTGGGATGTCCCTGGCTCGTGAGAGTCCTTGGCAGGCCTTCTAGGCAGAGCCCCAGCTTGCCTGGCCATCCTGAAGCCTCCCTCACTGGTGTGTGTGTGAGTGTGTCTGGGACACCAGGACCCCATGTAAATGGCTGAGCCTTGAAGGGTGGCATCTGTGTTTTGAGAAGCTCCTTTAATAACAATTAACCATTGAAGGGCGCAGATATGCCCTTGCCTGGAATGGTCCTCAAAGTCTCCTATTAAAGGTTATTTCAGGGGCAGCTGGCAGGAAATTGATCCCGGAAGCATAAAGCATCTCATTGCCATTCAGCTGTGCTGTGAATCAAGAGCGGAGTGCTTTGCAAAGGTGGTAGGAAGGGATCCTGTGGTCCCTGACAGCAGCCTCCAGGGTGGGCTGCATTTGTCCGGGTTTGTGCTGCCCAGGGGAGCTGCTCAGTGCCCCCCCTGGTCTCCAAACACCTGGTCAATCTGGGAATTAAATGGATTCTCCTTTCCCAGGACCTGGGGCCACTGGCGCTGCATCTTCTTCCAGAAAATGTCTGTCAACAGCAATGAAGCCACCTGCAAGAGATAGCCCAATGGGTGAGGAAAAGGGAGATTAGTGAGAGTGAAGACTTGCTAGGCCATGCTTTCCACAACAGCTGGAATCGAGCATCGTCTCCATGAGCCCTGCCTGTCTCATTTCTCTGTGATTCCCTTCCCTTGACATGGAGTGGGGGTGCGCCTGTCACTCTGTCCTAACCAATATAGGTGGTGGGGAACAGATGTCACTTCAGCGATTCTGCCGCATTATGGGGGCTTGGCTTCACCAGCGGAGACTCGTTGCTGGGCTGATGGAAAGCCCCATGTCACCGTGCTGAGGGTAACTTCCCACTGACATCCAGAAACAAGCTGGGACCTCCGTCCTATAGACTCAAGGGAATGAATCTGTCCACCACCCAAGTGAGTCTGAACTCATTTCTACCCCAGCGGAGTCTCCGGATGAGGACACAGCCTGGATGAATGACCTCGAGTTTGGTTTTGTGAGATTTAATGAAGCTCTGACCCATAGAAATGGCAAGAGGATCAATATGAATTATTTTCAGTTGCTAAATTTGCAATAAGTTGTTGCTTGGGCTTAAATAACATGTGCACTTTCTTAGGAATCCTCTTCTGCATTATTTGTGGACAGCTGCCTCTGGCTGGAGCTGAAGGGTTTGGGGAGAATGTGACGAATCCTTCCCTTGAGGAACTTGCACATCTGCCCAGTGAGGCCACCAAACCCCAGGGAAGGGGTGCCAATTCTGCTGGGTGTAGGCAGCAGTTCCTCTCAGATACAAGTGGTACTCAGCTGAACTTTGAAGGAGGAGGTGGGGGTTGAGGTGGGACAGAAGCTGCTGGGGGGGGCGGTCCCTGGAGGCGGCGTCATCCATGATGTCAGCAGGACCCAGTCTCAGGTGTCTGCTCCTCTGGTCCTCACGACACACTGTGCTGAGGAGGCTTGTTCTCTGCAGATAATGCCCCCATTCGGCAAACGCCCAGCCCAGCCTTCTGGCCCCCAGTGGCTACATCTCAGCAGTGGTTTTTAATGCCCAACTATGAGAGAAATGAGATTGCTGAAGGCTTCAGAGGGGGGTACATTGCTGGGGACAGGTGTCCCTGGCTTTATTCCAAAGCACAAGGACCCTGCCCCCACTGGGCAGCTCACAATGTCCCATTCTGGTCGGCAGTGCTGTCTGATTTCTGTGGCTCTCTCACACTCTCTGGTTCCTCTCATTTGTACAACAAATGGGCTGGGGGCAATGATCTGAAGTCCTTTCTGGGTCTAAATTGGGTGCATATTTTAGTAGTTAGAAAAAAATGACAACTGGTTGGTTCACTGGATGAAAATATCCACAATGTTTTGATGTGTTCCTGAGCTTTGTGAAGCTCAGAAATTCCATCCAACCAAGCATCTGATCTGGGTCCCATTCACACAGTGTCTAACACTCCCCCCACACCGCATACACACACACACACACACACACACACCCCATATACACACAGACACTTCTTTGTGCAGTACTTGAGAGTGGGAGCAATTCCGAGGCTGCCTGTCACAGTGGGGAGTTTCCCAGGAAAGGCTGGTTCATCTGCCACATGGAGCCATTGGTGTCTTTGTAGACAGAGGCCTAGTCTTGGAGCTGTTTTTCCTGACATTTTGCAGCAAAGGAGGCTGCCGCCAGGTCTTTGGAAAATTACCATCTCTTGTTCCTTTGCATTCAAGTCGATAAACCTAAGCTGTCTTCCTAGTAATTACGCAGTTCCCAAGGCATCTGTGGGCATTTATTTCCCTATCTATGGTAATGAGGAGAGAGGGGCGAGGGTCAGGAGAGGAAAAGAAAATGAAGGAGCTTGAGCTTCTGGTAACTGTTTTGAAAGCAATTAGTTGGCTGTCACTCTAACTGAGATGAAAATATTTATGAGCAGCCACTGCTAAAATACTGGGTCTAACATGACAGTGGCAAGGTTGTCACTAGACTAGCAACTTAGGATCCAGTGATCCACTGCAGTCATTTATTCATTAATTTGTTCCACTCATACTTGCTGGGCACCTACTGGGGACTCCTTCTATGCCCTGTCTCTTGTTGCTACTTCTGTGGGACACCACACGGGGTGAGGGCATAGCTCCCTTCACACCCAGTGTTTCTTGAACACAGATTCTTTTGTGCTTCTTTATTCAGAGCTTAACATGTGAAAGCAGTACCTGGTCATTCTAGGAACACTGAAGCAGAAAATTAAGCAAAGAGAGACAAACAGAGTTAGAGTTATCTGTAATTAGATCGAGGTTGCCTCTTCTAACATTGGGAGTAGATTTTCTAGACACACGCACACACCACGCACACACAAAGTGGATCCCTCCGTGAATATCATTTTATAGCCTGCTCTTTTTGAGGCATTAAGTACCAGTGATATTAACTATTTCTCATAAACAGTTCTGTGAGTGCTGGAAGAGGTACATAGTACTCATGGTAGAGGTACAAGTCCACCCCACAATCCAGACTCAACTCTTATTCTTTTATTCTTATTCTTATTTATTCTAGTCTTTATTTTCAACAGGTTGCTGTGTTGATCTGGGTAACTGTGGTGGTAAATCTCTTTCCAGGCATGCTATTCCAACAGATGGAGGCAAGCTAAATTCTCACACAGTTGGAAACATTAGCCACACATCTCCTTGGCATTTGTCCCCAGGACAGGGGACAGGGCACGTGGCTTCACAACATAGGAAGGCTCTGAGCTGCCTGGTTCACCTCCCCTGCTCACTCTCCTGGACATAGGTGTGGGATGAGGTCAAGTCCTGCAGAACACTGGGCAGGGGTGTCCTAGTGACTTGGGGTCTTCCAGGTCACAGCGTTGGGCTCTTTCATGCCTCTTCCTCGACAGGTAAAAGACCAACTCGTTCAGTGTCATGTAAACACTTCACCACACAGTGAAGGCGGAGGGGTTTCCAAGTCCACCCTGTCAGCTTCTTGCCATAGAGTGTGATCTTTTATTGAACTGCTTGATGCTTGAGGATTGTGCCCAGCCTCCCTCTTCTTGGCCTGTGGCCACTGTTGGGAATCGTGCATCCCAGGGTCAGGACAGTGACCCGTCTATCTCGGAATTGGATTACTTGAATAAAACCTGTGTGACAAGAACTTGCCTTCCTGTCCCCTCTACCTGGTCCTTTAGATTGTTTTACTTTTTTTTTTTTCTTGGTACCGGGGATCGAACTTGGGACTTTGTGCTTGCGTGGCAGGCGCCGGAACCACTGAGCTAAATCCCCGACCCTAGATTGTTTTACTTTTAAAAAATATAATTAGCTTAAAAGTCTTGCAAGTTGTTTTTCTCTTTCTTTTCCTCCCAGAGCAGACTTTCCAAAGTCCGCTTTTTCATTTCACTGGGATTATGGCAGAATCACCCAACCCCCACCCACGTTACCTTTCTCCTTTTAACCTGCTGACCGCTGTCCATTTGGAGTTAAGGACAAGCCTATAGGATGGGGTTGGCAGAGTGCTTCTGCCTCACTGAGGGCTCCTCTGCCAATCCAATGGGTAGACTCTCTGAAGGCGGGGCTAGCTCCCACCCCACCCCAACAATTTTGATGTGTGCCATAGTTTGGGCCCCACCACTTCCAACCCTTGTTATGTACTTATGGGGATGACCTCTGAGTTTTAAGAGGCCAACATCAGTGGCTTTTATTGGATTTACTGTGCCGGCTCACCAGATGGGTGCATTTTGGCCAAGGAGATTTGAGAGAAGCAGCAAGAATCAAGGATTCTGCAAACCCCAAGCACCTTTCCCTGGCGTTTGGATAAAGTCTCCGGGTAATAGGAGCCTATTTTACTGGCTCAATGGGCTCTGTACTATTGCAGGGCCTCGACTGGCCACACAAAGGCCATGTGGCTGTCACTCCTGCCTAGTTTGGCCCTTCCAGACCAGGTGTAGTGGCTCAGTAGGCCAGAAGCCTTCCCAGTGCCAATGCCATGCAGTGATCCTTAGTCTACTGGGAACATCTTGCTTTTCTTTGAAATTCCCATAGAAGGGGTGCCAAAGCAAAATGATGTAACAGACCATTGCTTTATCTAAGTTTTTGTGGTCTTTTTCAGTGAGGAGAAGGGTGGAGGCTAGAGAGGTGGTTCAGTTTCTTGGTCAGGTCATTGTCAACAGCCATCATACAGCTTTCAGAATTTCTCCTTCCTTGGGAGGACAATGTTCATATTAAGCTGTGCTTCTTGGCCTAATCTCATTGCAACCCACGAGGAGTGCTTTTCTGGGTCTGATCCCAGTTCTGCAAGCAAATGCCCCCATGCCAAATCCACCCCACAAGTTCTTGAGACACCAGGTCCCTTTGGCACCAAATCCCCTTTTTGCCTGGCTGCCAGCAAGCCCGGAGCGGGTTGTACAGGCATCTGGTTTCTCTGAACTGCTCTGCACAGTCTCCAAACTGTAGAAGGGAAGTCAGCGATCCAGGTGGCATTTCTACTTCCTTTACATTCCCTCGTGATTTTCACTTTATTTTGATTGGATTTTCTGTCCTTTATGTAGGTCCATTGCCTCAAACCCTCTCTGGAGAAAAATAGGATAAAAGCAAACACACGAATGTGTTAGAAAAATAGCCATGCTGGCCCGCGGCAGCCTCTGTGACGTGCTCACCTCGTTGGGGTGGAATCCATCCACGGGCTCGATGAGCTGCCAGGGCTGTCCCCCTCGTTTCTGCCACTCTTCTGTGACTGCAGAACACACAGAAGGGAGGTGTCACACACATGCATAGGCACGGCTACGGTCCATTCCCAGGCAAGGACCATGCACGGTGTCACCAGCGTCGTCCCTGCCTCCCAGGCCTCTGAAACCAGCCATGGCCACCTCTGAGCCATGGTCAAGGTCTAGGATCTTTCTGGACAGAAATCACCTTCCCATGGTGTGATGCATTTTCATTTTCTTGCTTTCTTTCTTTTTTGGTTTGTTTGTTTGTTTGGGGACAAGGGTTCACTACATAGTCAAGGCTGGCCTCAAACCCATGATCCTTCTGCCTCAGCCTCCCAAGTGCTGGGGTTACAAGAGTGCACCACCATGCCTGGCTCTATTTTCCTTCTCTAATGCAGAAAGAGAATGCATGACAGTGCTGGATGAATGTGGTTTGTGTAGCAGGGAGAGGAGAGGAAAATGGAATTCTAACACTGATTTCAGTGCCTCTCATTTCTCCATGTCCTGGTAGCACAATGCTGCAGGAGGTTAAATCTTAACATTTTGTTAACATTTTCTCTCTTGGACTGCCACACGCAGACACTGCCTGCCTGTGTCAGATGATCACCTTGAGCCATTGAGCAACATGTCATGATACAATTGCATAAAATCGTTTCACCATTGCATTTAGAGAGAGCATGGCTGCAGGGGAAATATTATGAACCCCAATGGGACACAAAGCAAAAAAACCGTCCTTCAACAGGGATAACACATGCCAGTCGCACCCAAGGTAATGATGCAATGAACTCCACGGTGCAGTATCAATGCCAGTGAGTGCTCCCCAGGGAAATGCCACGTGTGCAGGGCAGCCCAGCAGATACTCAGAGACATCTGCTCCCTGCCTGACTCCTGTCCTGCTGCCCTGGTGTTCACCAAGCATAAGAAGCACAGCTGAGAAACTTTCAGTTCTTTCCACACCCCAGAAAACACAAGGGAGGTGAATGGTATCCTCTCCCCATCTTGCCCAGGGAGGATGGAGGTGCTAAGGGGCCTTTGATTGTACAACAGAAGCCTGAATTCTTGAATGAGAAGGGGACCAAAAGATGCAGGGAGAGGAAGAGGAAGTAAAAAGAATTAAGATGTGTTATGTACATGTACCAACTCCCCATGTGAGTGTAATCATTGTGTACTTCAAAACATGTACTACTAAAAAATAAAAACTGAAGAAACAATAAAGACCTCAGGGAGTTTGTCTTGCTCTTTCTGCCACATGGGATTACATGAAGTTGGCAGTCTGCAGCTTTGAAGAGGACCTTGACCACACCCAAGCATGCTGGATCCTAGACTTCCAACCTTCAGATTGGTAAGAAATCCAACTCTGTTTAGAAGCCACTCAGCTTATAGTGCTTAATTACAGGAGCCAGAGCTGCCTAAGACAGATGCAGAGCAATTCCCAAGCAATGCTGAAGAGACCAAGCAAATGGGAAAGGAACCTCATCCAGACCGAAGATAGAGCCTGCTGGGAGGGGGCGGAGGTGGGTGGAGAAGGCACAAGGTGAGGGCACCTGTGTTCGTGACCTACAGCAAGCTGTGACCTACCCGGACCCCTGGCATCCTCTGGTCCTGTCAGGAGGAAGCCTTACACAGACTTTATGACTTTCTGTGTTTCTAGAGAAGGTTAAAGGATAAATTCATTCAATACTGGTGGCTTCTGTGGCCAAGAGAAAAGGATTAGGGCGACCAAGAGATCTTGAAACCCCAGAGGATAAAGCAGATTCGAGCCTGTTAAGGAAATGCAAGGAAGCCAAAACTATGTTCCATGGAGAATTGTTTACTAATAGCTCCATGTTGGAAAGGCCAGACTCTATTCTACATGAGTTTCCTTGCATGTGGTTCATTTTTGGCACCTGGGCTGGAAGTTATTCTATTTAATATAAATTGTATGTTACCAACTACAAACTAAAAACTTGGCCCTTAGAGATGTTGGCAGAGTTCCTTATGGGGCAAATAGATGTTAATTCTGTGTGTTTCCTCCTAATCAGGATTAGTGAGTTCTTTCAAAAGGAGAAGGCATGGTTATTCCTTCCTACTCTCTCTGGAGGATTGGACAGTTCCATAATGGTAGGGGTTATGAGAAGAAAACATGACAACAAAAGCATAAAGAAAGGGGAGGGGATATGCATTTTCCAATTTAAAATATATTATTACTGCTATTATTTTTGAAGTACTGAGGATCAAACCCAGGACCTTTGCACTGAGGTACAACTCCAGCATCCCCCCCTCCCTTTTTGTTTTTTGAGACAGTGTCTTACTAAATCACTAAGTTGCCCAGGCTTGACTCAAACATTTGGTCCTCTTGCCTCAGTCTCCTAGAGTACTGCGATTGCAGGCATGCACCACCATACCGGCTTATCTGCCAAATTTTGCCTTGGAGCAGGGTTATATGCTAGGATGGGGCCCAGTAGGGGAGGGCTACTTTTTATTATTACCACCAGACTCTGATAATTAAAAGTGATATCAATGATAATATACACCTCCTTGCCAGGAAACTTATTCCTTCTCCCAAGCCCTGTCCCTTTCCTTATTAGTAGACCAAGGGAGACCAGCCTGTAGAAGCGTCTTCCTATATAAAATATTACAATAGGTATTAAAGCCACAAGATTTTCTAGTCCTCAGTCAGTCTATTCACAGTGCAAAACATCATTTTCTCACATGAATATTGTGTCTTGAGGGTACTGGTTCGTGTATAGAAGCAGACATCTGGATTGTGAAATGTAAAGGTAGCCCAGTCACTCGCAGAAAAGGGTGTAAGGGTTTATCTGTACCTTCTCTATTAATAGACAGAATGATCCTTTTTTAAAAATTGAAGGATGAAGGTCAACTTTCAGGAGAAATGTACTGGCAGGTGGTGGCTTTTCTGTCCCCTGATGATTCCAGAGTGGCAACAGTAATCAAGGGTACAAGATAAGCTGGTCACTTTCTTTCCTACCTGGGACCATTGTTTCAAACAGGGCGAGGAATTTCTGTTTGCTCCTCAGAAGACCTGAATTAAACTTCTGCAACAATCATGGACCATCTGTTGGGTTTTGGGGCATAATGTATTTTCTTGATCTGTAAAGTCAGAGAAATCCTACTAATCACCAGTGTTTCAAAGGTGCAATGGGAATGGTGGAGGAAGAGTCAGCAGACACTTGGTAGCTCTTTGATGCATAGCAAGACTAGCAGGGATTCTACAGAGAAACGGGCAGTGTGGTTGGCAGCATGAAGTCAATCGCAGTCTTTGCAAAATGTGCACCTGGGGAGGGCGGAGTGAGGACTAGGTTTATCTCTGTTGAGTTGTCTGGTTGGCTGAGGGCATCTGGAGGGATATTTAAATTGTCAGTGTAAAAGCACCCTTGGCAGTGAAAAGGCATTTTCTCTCCTCTGCCAGGGAGGAGCAGTGTAGACACTTCCTGGCATTTTCTGAAGGAAGGAAAACCTGGCTGGAGAATGAGTCTGCAAAAGATAGAAAGAGTCTTTGAAGAGGAGCCATCATCTTTTGGCCTGAGGATGTCAGGGTGGGGAATAAACAGGTCTGGTGCCTGCCTTGAAGGGACAGGGACCCTTCACTGAAATGTCCTCTGTCATAAGGGTGTGAGATGGTGAATTTCAGTATCAGGAAAGATGAAGGTATCTGTGAGGCACTGGCCCACTCAAATAGAGAGCTGAGATAGCAGGGAGAATTCTGTTCTTATATCACTCTGGGGTTTTTATTTCTGATCAAAGGAGAACACAGTGACAGTAAGCCGCATTTCCCCTTATCTTCCTTGAAGGAACGCCAATCATCCTGGCATGAATGGTAATGATGGGTGGTGGGTGGGACGGCAGAAGGGCGGAAGTGTTTGTGATCTGCAGGAAGTGAGATTGCTTTCCATACATTGATGGGGGCAGAGTGGGAAGCCCTTTAAGCCATGGAGCTCTCATTCTCTTGCAAGGTTTGTTTCACTTACTCCTTACATAAGCCTCAAGGCTCAGTTATTTCTACCCTACACCAAAAGACACAAAGATTGATGGTTGTTAGTTTGGTCCTGGGTCCAATGCTCCTCTATGTCCGTGCTGGTGAGAGTTCTAGGCTGCTTCTATCTCAGTGCATCCTAGCGGCATGAGGTAGGTTCCCAGGAAGATGAACGTGCAGGCTGAGAGGTCACCCACAGCAATGGACTCAGCAGTAAAGGACCCCTCCCCCAACTAGGGACAATGCTAAACTTTTAAGTTAAGTGTGTTCTAACTTGGGCCTAAGTCAAAGACATTACCACAGTCCCCGAAAACTAGATAAAAGTTCTAGCTCTTTCCAAAGTAGACATGGTGGGACCTAGCCATTAGATGGAGGCCAATGTATCACATGTTGATTAGGCAGGGCATAGGGCACTCTCCTTCTGTCTCCATGCTCCCTTTCACTGTGTCCACATGTCATCCTTAGTGGGTACCCTCCAACTTCATGTGAAGAAGACCAAGAAGATCCTGGACCAAAACTGGAACTTCACACTTAATATCCTTTCCTTTCCTTTCCTTCCTTCCTTTTCCTTTTGATAGGGAAAAGTTTTAGATAACTTAGTAGATTGAATATTAAGGTAGTTGTAGAAGCAAAATAAGTAATGTGTTCCTTTAAGATTTGCTTTTCCATAACTCTTGTTGTTTTAGGTGACTTTAAGGTGACAGTTATCTGACTCTTTAACCAGTAACTTCATTAACTGAACAGAGTTACCATGCCTGGGTGAATTTACAATGCATATGTGCTTATCTTATGTCTGTGACTTGTAAATAGGAACTGGAATTGTATTTACACATCAAAGACCACTAGGGATGAGATAATGGCTAAAAAGGATATAAAAAGAGAAACCCTGAACAAAGGGGCATGGATACTGACCAGACCGGTTTCTGGCAGTCCCACCTGCTTGCAAGTAGAACTTTTATTATTTTACCTGAATTCTGTGTCTCTGTGTATTTCTTTCCGAGATTTCTGGGACCCTTTCCTTTCCTCTCCTCTCCTCTCCTCTCCTCTCCTCTCTCCTTCCTTCCTTCCTTCCTTCCTTCCTTCCTTTCTGTGGTACTAGGGATTAAACCCAGGGGCTTTGCCCTGAGGCACATTCCCTGCCATTTTAAATTGTTTTTAAAAAATTTTGAGATGGAGTCTCACTAAATTACTTAGTTGCCCAGGCTGGGCTCAAACTTGCAATCCTCCTGTTTCAGCCTCCCAGAGTGCTGGGATTATAGGTGTGTGCCACCAAGCCTAGCCACACTGATTAACAAATAGTTAAAACAAATGGATTGTAAATCAGGAGGTTCCTTGAATTGTGAATGGAAATCTACAAGCAGAGGCAATACCTAAAAGGTTGTGGTCATATTGATGTAGAAGGTCTGGTTCAGTCTACCCCAACTTTCTGCTGTTGAACTGCATTTATTGCTGCTATGAGGACAGGAAAGAGCTAACAGTGGTCTGCTTTCCATCCCACCAGGTCACCAGTGGGATGCTGGCTGGGGTTGCATCAAGGATAAAGCTCTTCTCTCTATACTCTCTATGGAGAGAATTCTTTTTGGTTGACAATTATATTCCCAGCACCTACACAGCTTTTGGCGCAAGAGGACTTAGCATAGATCTAGTGATTGAGTGAGGAAGCTTTTAAATGTGGAGAATTAGAGAGCTCCAGTACTGAACTTCGTGGGCATAGAGATGACCTGTGGATAGTGTTGAAATGCAGATTCTGTTTAGGTGGAGGTTGGGCCTGAGATTCTGCATTTAAGCAGCCCAGATGGTGCTGGGTTTTTTCTCACCCAGGATTGCATATTGACAAAGGTGTCAGGGTACAATTCTCTTTCCTGGCTGCGTACCAAGCATAGCATTTTTGAGGATGACAGATATTGAATAATCATCACAGAGATTTGTTAGGTATATGTGGATGCCCCATACCCAAGTGTGGAAAGGGGAGGCCAGAGATACTCAGAGGCCTGCTGCAGTCCCAGAGATCATAAATGACAGAGGTGGGGGTCACTCTGGGAAATAAAGCATTCACCCATGTGAATGTTAGCCATGATTGTGTTTTTAATAACTTTATCTATATTCAAGGTTGGTGATGATCTAAGATCACTCAGTGGTGCATTTGTTTACACCGAGAATTCATTAGTCAGTCTTCAGCGTCTCATTTCAATGAGAGGTTATTTATACAATGAGAGGTTACTTATCAAAATGTCTCTCCCCATGAGAGAAATGTGCATCATGTAGGCAAGAAATCTAGTTAAGGGAGATGAGTCTTGTGAAAAGATGTTAGGATTGAAGTACTAGAGTCTGCAGTACATGGCGTGTCAGCTAATGTAATATTTGATAATTCATGGTGGCCATCTGCTCCATCCCAGATGCTGAGGCTGGGGGCAGAGATGGGGGACAGAGGCAATAAACTCTGGATGAGAAATCTTCCATCCTTTGCACACACCGTAAAGCTTTTCATTAGCATTATCTCAGTTGGCAGTCAATCAATGGGGGGCTTTCCTCTGGTAGGAAAATTGCTTAGCAATGATAATAAATCTGGAAGATTACAATCAATAAATAATAATTTGCAGAGTTTATGTAAGGGATAAATCAGTAGCTTCCATCATCATGCTGGTTTTTGTGAGGCCACTTGTCAGTTACTGGACAGAATGCCAAAAAATAAACCTATTCCCAGAAAGCTGGAGCATGCATTGTTTACCTCTCCACAGATCAATTCTTTGGACTCTCTCTTAGAGATTGTGATCAGATTCAGGTTCAAGTTCCTCTTGTGTGGGGTCTGGGAATCTGCATTGTCGTTGAGTCCCTAGGTCATCCAGTGCTTCACTACGAGGCACACTGCCATGGCCCTCATTTCAGTCACATCCATGTTTAGCCCACAGGCAAGCAGGGGATTACTAACCAGCAAGAAGACCTTAGGTCCCCAGGTGCCTTCAGCCATCTGATCTTTGACAAAGGGGCCAAGAGGAAAGATAGCCTCTAACAAATTGTCCTGGGAAAACTGGCTATCCACATGCAGAAAATTAAGTTTAGACCCACATCTCTTACCATGCACTAAACTAAAATCAAAATGGATCAAAGACCTAGATATTAAAACAGAATTACTAAATCTGATAGAAGATAAAATAGGTAAACCTCTTGAAGACATAGGAATAGGCAAATATTTTCTAAACACAGCCCCAATTCCACAAGAAATTTTATCAAGAATCAACAAATGGGATCATATCAAATTAACTTCTGCGTAGCAAAAGAAACAACCAACAGAAAGAAGAGACAGCATACAGAACAGGAAAAAAATTTTGCCAGCTACTCCTTGGACAGAAGATTAACATCTAGAATATATAAAGAACTAAAAAAAAAATTAGGCCCCTACCAAAATAAGATCTAATAAGAATGTGGGCAACTAAAATGAACAGATACTTCTCAGAAAAAATATAAATGGCCAATAAATACCAATAAATATATGAAAAAAAGTTCACCATCTCAGGCCATTAGAGAAATGCAAATTAAAACAACACTGAGATTCCATCTTACCACAGGAAGAATGGCCGTCATCAAGAAATCAACAATAACAAATGCTGGTGAGGCTATGGGGGGAAAGGAAAGTTTCTTCACTCTTAGTGGGAATGTAAACTAGTGCAACCACTAGGGAAATATATATGGAGATTGCTCAAAACACTAAAATTAGAAATTGCATTTGACCCAGCTATTCTTCTCCTTCTAGGTATCTTCCCTAAAGAGTTAAAGACATCATACTACAGTGATACATGCATATTCATGTTTATAGCAGCATAACTCATAAGAGCTAAATCTTGGAAACAGCCTGTATCTCCTTGAACAGATGAATAGATAAAGAAAAGGTGATATTTACACACAGTGGAGTACTTCCTCTGCCTTAAAGAAGGACAAACTTGCGTCATTTGCCGGACAATTGGTGCACCTCGAGACCATAATGTTAAGTGAAATATCAGACAGGCAATCTTAAATATTGCATGGTTTCTCTTATACAAGAAACCAAAAAGAGGCATAAAGAGCAAAATAAAAGAGAGATAATAGAAAACAGGGAGATAGAGCTTTTGAAAATGAGATACTGAGATGGAGGGTACTGAGTACTGAGTACTGAGATGGAGGGAGGGGCCAGGGAAGAGAGGGGAAGAGGAAGTAAAAAGAATTGAGATGTGTTAGATACTGGTAGTAACTCCCCATCCACGTGGAACGTAATCACTATGTAAGAACTGCAAATATATACTTAAAACACAAGGTAGGAGACTCCATTAGCCTGAAGTCTGCTAGCCAAATGCTCTTTCCAAATGGTCCCTGGCTTCAGAGACTCTAAAATGATGGTGAAGCAGGGAGATGACACCATGTCCCAAGCTCCTCAGACTGTGTTCACGGTTTGTCTTTGTCTTTTGTCACTACTGGTTTTTCGATGGGCACAAGAACCCCGCCCAGCCCGCTGCTTGCTGCATGGGTCCACATGCTCTGCAAGGTAGCTGCTGTGCCTGTCTCTGCCCATACCTAGAATGAGTGACTTACTTTCTTCAAAGGCAAAGTCCATGTAGAAAAGATCGAAGTTTGTAAACTTCTCCCTGGCTGCGATTGTTTTCAGTGTATTGGAGAGTTGCTGTGCTCTCTGCGTAGGAGGGAAATGAAGAATTCCATGGCACCTAGACTCTGACTTTCATGAGACAATTCAGGCAGAACAAGAAATTCATCTTCCCCTCCTCACTCCACCTCCCTCCCTCCAAGCCGTGAACATCAGCTCCGCACATTCCATGCCACGTGCTGCAAACAACCAGCGAACATATGAAAAATGTTAATTTCATCAGGAATCAAATCAGGGCAAATGTAGGTAATAAGATATTACTTCTTCCCCATGGAATTGGCAAAGAAGCTGTGAATATCCTTGCTAATATCGCATGTTGGCAGGAGTAGGTGAGAATGTCGATTGCTTTTGTCTTCCTAGACGGCAGTTTGGCAACATGGACCAAATCCATAAACTGGCCCTACACTTTGACCCCGTAAGTTCTTATGGGAACTTGACCTAAGGAGACAGAGATGTACTCTGAAGCATCCATCTCTGTATGTGTGATACATAGTTCATCACAGTGCTATTTATCATAGCAAAGGACTGGAAACAACCCATATGTCTAACGCCAAGGGTTGAAATAAATCATTGTGCATTCAGAGGCTTTATCCCTTAAAAGGGTTGTGTTATCATGATGTGATTTGTCAACTTTGGGATGCATAAGAGAGGTTGTGTATTCTCACGCTATGAAGGGAGAAACCAAACATACCCGTCTATAGAGAGGATACTGGAAGTACATACACATGAGGTGTTTTGGATGGATTTTGTTATTTTTATGTTCTCTGTGTTTTTTAATTGCATATTTTTAAAAAAATCAATAAATCCTTTGCAAACAGATTATTTGTCATCTGTAAGACAAGTGCAAATCACTTTGCTTGAACAATGGATTCCTTCTGAGGCATGAGGAGGTGCTCATTGACCTTAGGGAGGGGCAGTCATACACAGGGCTGAACCGGCTCAGCTCTCTGCACTTCTACAAGCTGCACAGTGTGTGTGTGTGTGTGTGTGTGTGTGTGCGTGCATGCATGGGAGAGACAGAGACTGAGACACATAGGAGAGATAGGCACAGAGAGAAGTAGTGGGAAGCAGGAGGCCCCATTTCTCTAGGTTCTTTGAGGACCCTGGCTTGATTTTGCTATTCACCCACCTGGTGACCACCATGTCACCAAAATCCCGTCCCCAGTGAAAACTGCCGTGACCAGAAATGTGATCCAGGGGCTGGGGACCATCCTACCTCGGAGGTGAGAGTCCGGAGTGTCTTGTTGGAGGACATCCAGCCATGGCAGGGGTTGACCTGAGGTTAGGAAAACACACTGTGGTCAAAGAACAGCGATAGGTTGTAGCTGTGTGTGCCTGTGTGGGTGTGTGTGTGCGCACATGCAAGTGTGTGATGTGGCCTTGGAGCAAGTCGGTGGGCTCACCTGCAGGCAGCTCAGGAAGGAGAACACCTGTGCGTAGGTCACGTCTTTGTTTAGCTGGCCTGGAAAACAGTGGTCTGATATGTCATGTGCACTCAGACAGAGTGACCTTTGGAGCCTTTGGGGGTGACCTAACTGTCAGGGGACTTGTACTAACTTGCCCCTAAACATTGCTCTTGGTGTCTTTATTTGGGAGACAGTATCTCAGTATGCTGCCCAGGCTGATCTTGAACTCTTGGCCATAAGTGATCCTCCCACTTCAGCCTCACAAGTGCTGGGACTACAGATGTTGCTGGGGTGTCAGGTAGCGCTGCTCTTGAATAATACTCATTCTTTACTTCTTCTGCACCTCTAGAAATTCAGACCCTGATTTGGAGAGGAGTTTGAAGGAGTTGCTCATATTGCTTTTGATGTGGGTGACAAAGGGCTGGACTCATCTGGACTCCAGGGTAAAGGAATCCGAGTATCCCATGGCTCATTGTGGGCCTGAGTGCCTTGAACAAGGCCCTTTGCAGGACGCAGCTCGCTCCTGGCAATGGGGTGCAATGCTAAGTTCTCATGGGCATGGGGAGCATTCACACCAGTAGTTGAGTGAGTCCTTTCTGAGTTTATGAAGCACCTAGGCCTGACCCAGTTATCCCATGCTGAGGCCCAGGCAGGACATTCTGAGCTCTAACTGTGGAGTGTTGGTCTCCACACACCCCTGGGCATGGAGGGGCTGCATACTTGGCCTCCTGCCTCGGTCCTGGGCTGGGGGCTGCTCAGGGTGCTGTATGTGATCCTAATCAGTACAAATACCCTAACTCATGTTTTGGTGCAGGTCACAGATGTCATCAGAGGGAAGAGAAAAGAGACATGTGGGCTCCATGCTGAACACCGCCATGGACCCAGAATCTTCTCTTCCCACCCTCTTCCCTCCTTCTGGCTTGTCACTCCAGAGGCAGCTGCCTGTCCCGCTGTGGATGACACATCAAACCCAGGTGCCCCTGATCTGCAGGCTGAGTGACTGAGGTTGTGACTGCGAACCTTTCTCACACACTTTTAAAAAATCAAAGAAGATAACCAGACAGGTCTCAGAGCACAGAGGAGTCAGCCGTGAGGGGGCACAGTCTTATTTTCCACTTGGGCCCCAGATGGCCTAGACTGGAAGATAGAATCACTTTGCCCATCATGGAGGAAAAATACATCATCTCTCTGAGTGGGTGAGTGACACCGCCGGCTGGAAAGCCACAGGCTTGTTGGTGCCATCAAAGTCACAGCAGCCCACCAGATCTCTCTTCTGCATCTTCACAGTGTAGACAGACCCCATGCTGCTGCTGGTTCCTGTCCTTGCTTCCATTTTACAGCCTTGAGCCCCGCCCCCCCGCCCCAGTCCCCGATTCCACCCACAGATGCTTCTTTCCCTCTACTTTGTTGCTTTTCTTTGGAGGCTTTCTGCAAAATGTCCCCTCCCTCTGGGTCCCTGTCTTAGCCCCACCTAGATGCAGGAACTGGCCCGAACCCTTCAATCTCTACTCCCCAACTAGTCCTCCATGTGCCCAGGGATGCAGCTCTGTCCCCATTCTGATCTGCAGATTCCCTTTTGCCTGCCTCTCTGTCTGCCTGGCCTTTGCCCCAGGATCTGCCGCCATCCTGTTCCCTCCTTGGAACAGGGACCTCATAATGAAATAGACAGCTTGGTTAGGGCCCTGGCACCCTGTTGAGCCCCGATGCATCCCCGCACCCCGGGGGGTAGCCTGACTCTCTTTACCCTGCTCAGTGGCTGGCCAGGAATTACCCTCTGGCCACCTTCCAGAGGGACTGCAGTTTGTCCCACACCATGGACACTGGGAACTTAACTGCTGGTTGCTCCTTCCGGGTTAAATCAGTCACAGCTTTGCTCATCCTGACCCCTCACCCTCCTTAATGTCCTACTGCTGAGGCCCCAGCATCCCTCTCAATGACACCATCCTCCCCCAGACCTAATCCAGTCCCTCTCCCTTTTCCCTCTATCTCCCTTCCATTCCAGCCCAGCTCCAGGGGAATCTGCTGGACAAAGGGACAGGGTTAGTACGAGTTGCTGGGTGTGCTGAGCAGGTGTGGTGGGTGGTAACTTGGAGATGTTCCTGGGATGCTCTTCCTCTCTGTTTCTCCTGGATGGGCCCCGGGTAGGCTGGCTGGGGATGATGGCAATGGGTCAGTGGCTTAAAAAGAAAGGAAGGGGCAAAATGGCTCTTGAACTCCTTCTGTGTCCTGGTACTGCCAGCTAATTATGCCCTCTTTCTTTTGTAGCATTCCCATTATTCCTATTGCTTTAAAGTAATTTTTCACATGGGGGAGCCCTGCAATAAAGATTTGCTCTACTTCTGTGCTGTACATGTAACAAAGTTGTGCCTGTAACTGTCTGGTCAGAAAGTCAATTGAATTAAGAGAGCTGATCAAGAATGTCCAGAGCCAGGGATGCTGATGGGGGACCGTCCCTCCGTGTGCAGGAAGTACCAGGGGCTGAGGAATGACCAGCATGCCTGTGTGCCTGCCTGTGTCTGTGGTGTGAGGTGGGGAGTCAGTGCCATATGCCCTCTGAAGACCAAAGGGCACACTCTGCTCCAGCTGGCTAGAAGGGGCAGCTTGTGTCTTAGAACTGTGCAAATTCTCTAGGGCAGAATCTTTGCCATTTATTTAATGCTTAGAACATAACTGAAATCTAAGGTACCATAAACATCCTAGTACCAACCAAGATGAGTCCCACCTTCATGAACTACATTCCAAGTGTATTAAAGCCACATTAACTCAGATGGGAGAAAGCCAGTAACACAAAATAGAAACTACAAGGTATTTTCAAGTACATTTGGTTTCAAGGTTAAGAGTAACTGAGACAAGATATTGAATTGCTTTGTGGCAGAGACCCTCCAAGGGAGCCTTACTCAGACTTCTTTGTAACTAGCAATCCTTGGCTCCTTTTCTTTTCTCCCCCCACCTTCTTTTCCCTTCCCTTCTCTTCCCCTCTCTTCCCAAGAAGATCTCACTATGTTGCCCAGGCTGAACTCAAACTCAGGATCCTCCTGCCTCAGCCTCTCCAGTAGCTGGGATCACAGGCATGTGCCACCACACCAGGCTCTTTTTTCTTTTTTTGGAACCATGCTTTAATCCTTTGAGCAATTCCCAGAATGCCAGTGGCTCATACCACTCTCCTTGGCATTCAGTGCTTTCACTGTCAGAATTTATATGCTGTTTTCCAGGTGAGGTTGTGTTTTCTCTCCCAGCTGAGGACAAGGACTCCATCTTACATAATCTTTATCCAAAAGCACAGAACGTGCATTTCAGACACCTTTCTAGAATGGCTGCCTTCCTCATACACCATGGCTGTGAGGACTCAAGGTGGGTCAGGATTGACTTTTTTCCAAAGATCCATGACGTATAATCCCAACATGTGGGGCTTGCTTCCCAGCAATTCCTCAGAAAGACATGAGCACCCACCAGGAACCCTAGTTCCTTGCAGAGCCAGTGGGCTTGTTTCAGCTCTTGGTGGTAGTGTGGCTGGAAGTGACTCAGCATGGCTGAAGACGAGCAGTGCTATGGGAGGAGGACCCTTCTCTCCCTGTGCCCTGGCAGGAGCAGGGAGTTGGACGTATTCTCGCTCCCTGTCAGTTTGGTGCTGTGACATTTCACCTTTTCTTTGCTGAGGGACCAGCTATGTTCTGCTGTCCCATGAAGGGAAGGGAGGGGACCGAGAATGTATCACTGACCAGGGGCTCTGCCCCAGCCCTCCACCCCAAAACTCTTCCTTAATCCTTACATGGTGGCTCAGCAAGTCCACACTTTTTTTCTAGGTTTAAATACAGAAATAAACAGACCCGCCCTTCCTCTCCTGTGACTCCTGACACAGTGTCCTGGACATTGGACTCCAGGGCCTGACTCTTGGTTGGGACAAGATCTATTCCACCAAACCCAGGAGCTGGTCCAGCATGGAAACCTCAGTCTATGGCGGTGGGCTCCTGTCCCGTGGGAATGGAACAAACGGGCTGGGTTTGGAGGGGAGCAGCCGAGGAGACAGACTGTGTCCCCTCTGCAAGTCCCCAGGAGGAGCCCCAAGGGACTGCGGAGGCTGGGCGAGCCCACCTCTCTCTTCCAAGTCTTTCTAGAAAAGACCTTGATGCTCCCTCAAGAAATTTATCACTTATTTCCCATGGCAACCAGGCTGCAGGGATAATTTGGGATGTGAATAATTGCTTCAACACTCAACACATTTAGATGGCCTCCACTTTTTCCCTCATTGGATTTTTTCCCAAACTAGGGGTTATATGGGACAAATTTATCCTATCTTTTCCTTGTCCCCCATTTGTGCTATGAAAGGGCTGGGTACAGGGCGCCATCCTATGCACTGTGGGATACTAGCAGCTGCCCTGGACTCCGGCCTCTGGTGCTTTGCATCCTGGCATGACCAGGGTGGGATGGCATTTGTCCTTCTGGGAATCTGTGCCTTGAGAACCTGTAGAAGTGGGTACTGACTTTCTGAACCACCTTCCCTCTTCTCTCAAGCTTTCCCAACTGGCCTGGAGCCCTTGTTATTGACTGCTTAAATCAGGCGGTCACATGGCACCTGGGGAAGGATTTATGGAGGCAGGCTCAGCAGGGTGTATGGGAAGAGAATGAAGAGAATGGGATTTGAAAAGAGAAAGGAAGCCCCAGTCACATCAGAAGTCCCTCTCAGTGTGGGGGAGTAAATTGGGGCACATTTGTCTGTCCCTCAACTTGCCTTCCTTAGGGATTTTTTAGCATGGGAAATATTTAGCAGTTTAGCCATTAGGAATTCCTAATTTCACTAGGGAATCTACGAGGGGATGAAAGTGTTTATACCTGAGACAGAGGCATTCTTAGCCTACTTGGTTGAGCTCTGAGCACACAGGGTGTGGGCTAAGGTTCTCCCGTGTGCGAGCCCACGATGGCTTTCTGGGGCCATGGTCATGGGGTGTGAACAGGAGGAATATGCTCTCCTAGCAAGGCGGACAGGGTCTGCTTCAGTAATGATATTTGTGATACCTTTTGGTAAGTGGAGTGGATACCGACTTTATCCTCAGGGATAAAGGACAAGCTGGATAAAGGACACCTGCAGTCCTCAAGAACCGGGGAGTGTTTCCTCAGGGAGGAGTCGGGGAGGGGGGCTTAGCCAGGTTAGGATTAGGACAGCTCTCTCAGTGAGCTTCCCTGCTCTGTCTTCCTCCTGGGTCACTTGTCAACTTTTGGAGTAGTTTCCACTATAATCTAAGTCTAGGCAGGGATTTGAACAGTCGTGTTCACTGCTGGTTACCCAGTACCCAGAACACTGTCCAGTACATAGTGGGCACTTAATAGTTTTGAAAGGACAGATCCTCTGGAATACAGAAAGCAGCACCCTGCACACCCAGCTTTCCCATACAGTTGTGCAACACTTGACAAGCTACCTAACCCGTCTGAGACCTAATATTTTAGTTAGTGAAAACATTGATCTAACAGGGTTGCTTTAATGATCAGCACGGTTGCTCTTCCTAATGCAAACAGCTACCATTTTTACATTGTTTGTACACGATCTGGAGGATCAGAGCTGCCATTAGAAAGCTTCTGGGGGAACTTTAAGGGATTTCAGAGCCAGAGACACCCAGAGTGTAGATGCGGGGAACCATCTGCCCTTAGGACTGGGTTCTGTAGGGTTCTGAATGGCCACCAGAACCTCACCCATTCTCTGACCCAGGCTTTGTGTCTTCTGCACTGTGCCTCTATTAAAGGGGTTTCTTGACTTAAGCTCCAATCTTTCCATTTGTCCTCATTCTTCATGAGCTACTTGTGCCCTTTCTGGCTTTGGATTGGGTTCTGCCCACGTGTGCTTGGGGAATGCCCTCAGCACTGCACCTGGGCACTCTTCCCTCAGTGGCTCTGACCCTTGTTCTGTGATGCACCTTGGGCAGATTTCTAGAACATCTCTGTGTGCATCCAACCATACACACATGGATATTGCTAAAGTATCTGCAAATGGATACCAAGAGGGTGATATCGGTCGTGCAAATTCTCCCAGAGAAAGGTTCCATTCGGCAAGCCGTATAAAACCATGTGGCTGCCCTTGGGCAGGTGGGAATCGAGGTGCTTCAAGGTCTGCATGATGTTGGAGTAGAGCTGCTCTGGAGTGGTCATTGCCTGGACTGGGTCTGCCCTCCTGTGGGAAAAGGAACAGAACATGTCTCAGTTGATTCTAAGGATAGAGGATGCATGCAAATACAAGACACAGAACACATGGGCATGTGTACACACACACACACACACACACACACACACACACTGTGGTGGGTATGGGTACTATTTTACAAAATCTTCCTGGCTTTCTGGCCCGTGGTCAAATTGTACTTCCTGCTTTCCTTGTGGTTGAGTGAACCATGTGATTGTTTTGGCCAAAGAGTCATGAGCAGAACTGAGGCAGGTCAGGTATGGTGATGTGAGAGCCCCTAGAATGTTCTTTTTCTTTTCTTTCTTTCTTTTTCTATGAGCAGTGTTCTGGATAGCTGTTCCACCCCTCTGAGTGCTGGACCCAGTTCCTTGGTGATCCCTGATAGGTGTGTAGCTTGGGTGGGAAGGAAGTGCTTGATGCTTTACGCTGCTAAGATTTAGGGGCTGTTGTCCCTGCAGGACAAGCTCACTTATCTTGACTTACACATAAAGGAACCAAAAAGCTCTGGTTTTGCTTATGATTTATTTGTAGCTTTTAGCTCTGAAACTTGGTCTTTAAAACTTGGCACACATATCACAGTTAGGGAAACAGAATTTCACGGAGAAATGAAGTTATGTTCTATGTCTACACTATATCCTGCTTATGGTCCTGCACTCTGCACACTGAATTTGGACTTCCATGCGTGTCCTAATAGATTCCTACACTGTGCTACACCACAGCAACATTATTTACCAACAATTCGGTTTTGTATCATTGTCTTTCTCTATATGGCAGTGAGTGTGCTCTATAAAGGATATTTTAATTTTTAAATTACACCTTCCACTAATTTCATGAAAGTTCAACAGGAATAGAAAATGCTAATGTTAGTTATGAAATCAAGCTTTTAAGATAAAGCGAGATCATGAGTGAGCTAAAAGTAGATAATCTATACCTGAACCAGACATTTATTAAATTTTATGTGATTGACTTATTTTCAAGGGGTTTAGGAAAGAACAGAAGTAAATACGCAAGCGCAAAGACCAGAGTTTGATCCCCGGTACCAAAAGAAAAAAAAAAAAAAGAACAGAAGTAAGGAATATACAAAATTTTAAAAATACATCGTTGGGACTTATGTTAAAATTTTATCTACATCTATCATCTATCTATCTATCTATCATCTATCTATCTATATCAGCCTGTTTAAAAGGCAAGGGATAAATTGGTATGCTAGCATTTTTGGCAGTAATACACGACTATTATTGCTTATTTCTTGCACAGCTGAGTCCTGAACACATTTTCAGAACACACCAAATGTAAATTAGGATGCTAATCTGCATCACCCTAAGGAATAATTACAGAATTCTCTGAGGTTTCCATTTGTTCTTCAGGCTTTAAACTACCTGTTATCAACCTAAATGGAATTATGCTAGAGAGTTGTTTTCTATTCTGAGTCCTTAAAATTCCAAATTTACCTAATGATTCCAAAGTGGTTGAATAGCGTCCCTCAGATTGTAACATTATTAATTATTATTATTATTACTGTTGTTTTTTTGAGACCAAGTCTCACTACATAGTTTAAGCTGGCCTACAGCTCACTATGTAGTCAGGCTGGCCTCCAACTCACAATGATCTCCTTGCCTCAGCCTCCTGAGTGCTGGGATTACAGGCCTGCACCACCACACCAGCTGAGTAACCAGGTTTTATATTTACTGTGTGGTTGTAGTGCGACAGTAACATTGGCATGAAAGGCGTGTTTGGTGTCTACCACCTGGCTTCTGCCATTGGTAGAGATGGCACACATGCTCTATAAGCTTTTCCCTTGCTATCCTCTCTGTCTTTTTTTTTCTGTGGACACAAAAACACTTTTTCACAAAGCAATTATGGAGCTCTCCAACCACATAAGGTAAGATGAGTTAAGATGGGGGAAAATCTCTCAAACTCCCTATTTAATAATTATTTTTTATTAGAGACACAACTCTGATGATAAACAAAGAACCTGAACTAATTTGTAGTACCACACAATGAAAGGGCACCACACAAACTAAATAAACATGCTCCAAATGGCTAATTGCTAAGTGAAACCAAAATAGATGCCCTAGTGTTGTTCATGGAACATTCTCTGGACATCTTGGTTCCATCTTGCATAGCTACACGATTTACCACCTGCACACATCGTCAGTTAAATCCTTCTGCAGAGCAAAATCAACCAATTCCTACTGCAGGGGAAGGCAAAGGTCTATGGACCAGTGGTGATCACCCCTTCTGACCATAGAAGGTGCTTTCTGATCTTTCCCTGAAAAATTCTCAAAGTCATTTGATCTATGCACTCTTTCTCCTCTGGTGATATTTTAGGGGATTAAGTACAAATATTTTGGGAACCAGAGAGCCTCTGTGGTTTGGGAAACATCTCCTAGGTCTTTCTGATGTCTGCCAAAGCTGAATGGGCTGAGCTGGAGGTGCCTGATCTTTTTTAACCCTGGTGTTTGGGAACACCATGTCTGGACCACTCCACTATACTGGGTTTTTCATTGTTATGGCTTTAAATTGTCCCCCAAAGTCTCAAGCATTCAGAGGTGGGTCTTGGAAGGTGATTGGATCATGGGGTGCTATACTCATCTGTGGATTCATCCACCAAGGAAGCCCTAGCTCAATGTGCTGTGTGAGGAAGTGAGGCCTGGTTGGAGGTGGGTCACTGGGGCTGTGACCTGGAAGGGTGCATTCTTTTCCCCCGCTCCTCCTTTCTCTCTCAATTTCCTGATCATGATGCAGTGAGCACCTTTCCTCTGCCAGGCCCTTCCCATCATGCTGTCTCTGCCTTGAAGCTAGTTTACCATGGACTGAACCCTCTGAATCATAAGCCAAAATAAATCTCTTCTCTTTTAAATTGAAGTGTTGGATATTTTCCCCTAGTGATAGGAAAGTGAATAATACACTCACCCACTCCCATACCTAGGCACTCCTCCTTGTGCCCAGACTCTCAGATGATGGGAGGCAGGAGCACTCAGTTTATAGAGAAGAAGTATGGACACCACCCTAAGGGCACAATGCCTACAGCTATGGTGGTAATGAGCAACACATCAGTGCCCACTGACACACTCTTCATGTGTCAGGAACACATGGTCTGGTTGGCAACAGATGAAGAGCCTTGCCCCTTGGGTAGCTCAGAAGCCTGTCCTTGTCCTAATGAATTGTGCCTGATCATTCAAAATAAGCCTCTTTACTTGGGTGGAGGGCTGGCTATTACTGTTTCATTATGCTGTAGGAATCCCAGCTAGATGTCACCTGGCTGATGCAAGAGGGAGGGGGGGAGGGGGGGAGAGGGAGAGAGGGGGAGAGGGAGAGAGAGAGAGAGAGAGAGAGAGAGTATAAGACAAAAAGACCAACAAAGAGAGTGAGACTTCTCTGGGGAAGAGAGAGAGAGAGGGAGAGAGAGAGAGAGACAGACAGACAGACAGACACAGAGAGAGAGAGACTT